GGTGTTGCATCCTTCTTTCTTCAAAGTTTAATTGTATTTTAGGATGAATGACTCCTCTTGATTCTAGTGCATTAAGCATTAAATACATTTGTAAGGTGTGAATAGACAAACACATTCAAGAATATTATGTATAGATACGGTACTTACATCTCAGGAAGTCTTGCAGCTGTATAGTTTTTGAGACTGGGAAGGTGAGCTCCACATTCTTGCTCAATTTCTACAAACGTGTCCTCTGTTAGGTGACTACTGGAGATAGGTTACTGGGTGGAAAGGACTTCTGTTCACACATAATAAGGCTTCTGTTCTTACCCCACCACTCCCTTTTCATATTGTCAAATTTTTTAGATGAAAGAACCTTTCTGGTTTTGAATCTGTCCAACGAAAAATATAAATTAATATCCTAATGATATTGTAAAGACATTTTTTACAATGTTCTTTCTCTCCTCATCCCCCTCTCCCTTTCCCCACACCTCTGTCTTTTTTTTTTTGTTATATTGCTTTTGTTTCTGTTTTTTTCTGTTAGAGCATCAGCTTTTAGAACTGGAGCAACATCTAGCACAGACAGAGAAAATGTTAAATTCTTTATTGACTCAGTTGGATCCACTTTCAAACTGGTGAGTGTTTCTAAAAAAATCTCTCTGTTGTTTCCTGTATATTGAAATTCACCAAAATGTTAATGAAGATTTTTAAAATGATCCTTATATATTGATAAGGAACAGTTTTAGGAACCTTCTTTGATTACTTACTGTTTTTGTAGCCTTTTGCAGGTGATACCAATTCTGCCATTTGTGAATTTCTTCACAGACACCTCCCTTCTCTTGTTCACCAAACATAAATGCAGAAGACATGATCATGTTACTGTGGCTTAACAAGATGAACCTTAATATTGACCAAGGAGACTAATAATGAAAATATACTTAAACTCAGTAGCATTTGAAAGCCCTTGTGGGAAATAGATTTTGGTAGCAGAATGAGTTTCTTCTTTTAGATGTAATTATAAGAAAAAAATAGTTATCAAGGTATAGCTGCTTATTTTTGTGTTTTGAAATGAATCTGTGAAGTGTGTGTATTGCAGTGAAATAGAACTTGCCTATTTTAGTATGACAAGGGAATCAGTAATATAAAAACTCTTTGTAGCTTTAGAGTTCTCTTCTTAAGAAGCTAGAGCCTTACTTATCTACTAGAAATAAAAGTATCCATGCTGTTAATTTTCTAGACTGACATCCTTCATGAAACACAGGTTAAAACATGCAGAATTTTCTGATTGTTTTGCAGTGTACTTCTGAACTGGATATGTGCTGAAACTCTTAAGCAGCAAATTCACCGGCCAGTTTGCCTAACAAATTTCTAGTAGTGGTGGGAAGTTAAAAAACCTTGAATGACAAAAGCTTTCAAACTCTAAAGTTCTGTATTGGGCAGTGTTGTACTACTAATAACAGTACTTTGGATAATTGTTACTTTCAGCAGTCATTACTCGACCTTGGCCATTGGGACTCCAAAGTCAGAGTTCAGTGACATTCAGTAGTTGTGTGATGTAATGGCCTCCCCACTTCTCAAGAGACAGTTCTCAAAGGAAAGCTTGACCTAAACATTTCACAAACTTCACTGTGGTATTTGTGCACCATAATTTTCTTCATGCAGAAAGAAATACTGCAATAAGTGTATTATTATCAAGCACTCCCTTCCAAGATAATCTTTCAGCTGTTAACATTTGTCTTATTTTTCTAGTGTCAATGCTTTAGCTTGTGAGCAGAAAGATGAAATAATGACACAGCTCCAATCAATTAGACGACTGATGAAAGAAAGTGGATTGGATAAATCAGAAAACAAGATGAAAGGTAATTTAATTTTCAGAGAGATAGATAATTAAGTAGTTTATATTTTAAAAGAATAAATAGATCTTACTATAGTAATGTTCAGCTTCTGAGTCTTAGGTAATTTGTGTGGAATTAGTTTTATTCTGGAGGAATACCATTCTTCTTATTTGAGATGTATCCAATTTCAAATTTTTGATACATTATGATTTATTTAAGAATAGGTGCTCAAGACTGGGATGGACCACACAGTCACATTCTGGTTTGATAAAGGAACAGACTACTAACAGACTACTTAGGAACATCAGTTCCTAAGAAGTCTGTTAATACTGTACTAACTTTACGCAAAGGATTTCCAAATGGGAACATCTGAGGCTGTGAGAAGTGCTTGTGTAAAACACTAAACAGCAAATTGTATTTTAGTTTCAGCTGGAGACTCACAAGAGCTGCATAGTAGCCCAAAAGAAATCTTAAATTTTAAGACTGGTCCATTAGAAATTTGGGGAATTTTTGCATTATTCAAGTCTTAATAAAAGAGAAAAAAAAAATAAAAAATACTTTACTTCTAAACTGACCCTGAAATTCAGAGCCTTACCAATAAACTTTAATTTTGATTATTTGTTGGGAATTTTAAGATCTTGGGCACATTTGTGATGAGAAACTTGAAGATCTTATTCAGTCATTTGCCGAACATTCTCAAGAGAAAGAAACGGACAACAGAGAAGATGACTGTAATGAAGATTTGCTTGAGGATATTGATAATGATTACAAAATAGAAGAGCATGAATTATGCGGTGAATGTGAAATACATCACTTGGAGCCAGATGTTGTAGAAGAAGAAGAAATGATAAGCAAAGATGCCATTGAATCAGAAGAGATGGGACTGAGGAGACGCAATAGATATGAATGGAATCTGCATATGTAAAGCTTCCAAAAGCTTATGAATTCTTTTTATGATGTTGTATGCACTTTAAACTGAAATGAAGTTATGTGCACTGCTATATGCTTTAAAAGAGGAGTGAAATACTGCCTTTGATCTTATCTGTGACAATTCTGTAACTGACTTCAGTGGCAGCAGAATTTTACTCAGGATGTTTACATATTTTTTCTATTTATTTTTCCCTATAAAAATATTTCTGTACTCTGTATATAATGCACTGTAATTATATCTGATGCTTCACTAAAATATTAAAATACCTTCTAATTGAGACTATAAAGAATAGGTGTTTCATAGATGTTTTGTAACTAGAAAGCATTATACCACTTGAACTGTGACTTTCTTGAGTTCATTAAAGAGCATGCGCTGATAAATTCAGCTCTTTGTGGAAAAATTTTCTGTGGGCGTGTGAAAAGCAGTTTACATTAAGTTTTTGATACTCATTCATAGTTAAGTTTCTTTATTTGGAGAGAGAAACTTAACCATGGACACTATATGAAAATAATGATGTCTGAATTTTCAGTCTCCTGAGTAATGATTAGTTTTGTGTGTCAACATAATCCCAAATGTATTACACTGAATCACTTAATTTTTTTCCCCACTTGTCACTTGTTAAACTCAGCAGCTGTCTAATAACTGATTGATACGCATTAGTACTGTATCTCTGTTTCACATTTATTTTAATACCATAGAATGTGACCTTTTGATTGATTTTAATACCCTTTTTTTTTTTACATCAGAATTAACAGATGTGTTGCTATGTACCATTCAAGAACTGTGAGGCATGGGATCTTTTTTCAATACATTATGCCAACTTGATAGCTGCCTTTTTAGGTCAGTATTAGGAAAAGCATTATTTTTCTTTGCCAGAATAATTTTTGTCCACCCTTTCAATATTTAATAATTTTTTTGTTCACTTAATGCACACACCTATGGTACTGACAGCCTTTAATGACAGGAATTACCTTAGAGGTCGGTCTGATAGTATGGCACTGTTACATTTTCTGTTTTATAATTGCATTGCTTTTAAGTAGGCCAGTTATAATGCCTGAACTCTTCTGGCATCCTTATTCTTACAGGAAAATAGCATGTGAATTCATTTTTAGGGAGGAAACGTACTAAATTTATTATCTTGTCACTCACTGAAATGGAAAGAATTGTTTATTCTGATGTAGACACATGGTATGCATTTTGTTCTAAAATTGAATCAAACAGGCTTGGAAGTAGCAGCATCCAGAAATACATCCTTAGCATCAGTGTGTTAGTAGTTTTGCACTAAGTGAGATTTTGCCTAACTTTGGAAAACTGATTGACTACAGAGCCGGGGTTTCTCAAGAGGTGGCAGATTTTTCTCCCCAAGACAGAATGGATGAGTCAGAACTGGTACTTAGATACAATTTGATTTAAAAAAATTACTGATGCTCTGGCCATTCAGGACAAATGAAACTTAAAAAAATCAGTTTCATTGCGGCTTTTCTTTGAAATATCTAATACATTAAAGTGAACTGATGTCAAAGCCATTGATCTGCGGAAACACGGATGGGCAGCCAGGTGTGCAGGGTGCAGGGCAGCCCTGCTCCTTGCAGGCACGGCTGCCGGTGTCCTCGGGCCGGGCCAGTGTTTGAATCTTCACTGCTGTGCCTTTCACCTCCGCGAGCCTTCGGATGCTGCTGGCACTTGAAGCCCTTGTCCGAAAGGCTCTGAGCTACTTCGGGGGGTCACTGTATTTCTGACCAGGCTACGAACAGGCAGCGTGCGCTCTCTCGCCGCAGTTTCGAGGTCCCGATTCCAGCTGCCGGGGTTTGCCGGGAGCAGGACCCGAGTGATGTGTAAGCGCCCGCCTGTCCTGCGGGGCCGCGGGGGCCGCAGGGCGGGCAGAGGGAGGGACGGCCGTGCCCCGGGCAGGGTATTTCCGCAGGAGCAATCGGGAATTGTGCATCCCCTCTCCGCCAGCTCTGGTGCGAGGCCCGGCTCGGGTTGGCCCCTCCGCGCTGCTGTAGCGGCAGGGGCGGCGCGGGGCCGCGGGCCGTGAGCCCTGGGACCGCTCCGGGGAGACACAGCCCCCGCCGCCGGCGTCCCGCGCCTCTCTTGGGAAAATGCATCATTTCCGTGGAGCTGCTGAGCTCATAGTGTTTATTCCGCCTTTTACGGCATTGCTGTTTGATAAAAGCAGTCTCAGCGTGTGAACCATTAAGAACGCTGTCTCCCCTCCGCGCCCCCAGGTGGGAGGATGCTCCATTCCGGGAGAGCCTCCTGGCCGGGCGCGGGCATCCTCCGTACCCTGGGAGCGCTGTGCGGGGCTCCGAGCACGCCCCGCAGCCCCGCTCCTGCTCGGGAAAGGAAAAGGTGCCTGGGAGTGGTAACTGCTCAGTGCCGTCAGCCTTTCGTTAGAAAATGGAGTGTCTGGTTGATGGGGTCTTGGTTCAAAACTGGCTGCGTGGAAGGAGAAGCCAGCAGAGCAGGAATGCTTGGTGGCATGTCGCCCTGGAGCTCTGGGAGGCTGGCAGCGTGCCGGGACGGCCCGTCCGCCCTCCTGAAATGTTCCCAGGGCGCTGGAGTGCCAGGCGGCGGTTGTGAGTGGGGAGTACAAAAGGTTTGATGTTGCCAAGGGGTAACAAATTAGTAATACTGGAATGAGAATGTATCGATAAGTGTAAGGGAAAGAGGGAGTTAAGCTTCAGGCAAAAACATAAATTTGAACGGGAATCTGGTTAAGCATTAGTAGTAAAAGTCTGAAATTAAGAGGCTGTGAAAAAGAGAAACCAACAGTATTTCATAGCTGGCTGAAGACAATACCAAAATTCCTTCTAATGCAGTAACTTCCCCCCCCCCCGAGAAGTACTTAGATAAAAAATTGCACATTTTTCTCAATAGTATTTTCTGGTTTTCAGTTTTTTTCTGAAAGCTGCCAGCCATTGAACTTGCATGGATTTGGAAGTTAGAGGAGTTGCTGCATCCCCTCAAAAGAAGATTGAATTGTCATTGAGGGGGAAGAAATGTCAGGTAGTCAATGGAAGGCTTGTGATTGTTTTTCTTCCTTACTTTGACATTTGAAAAATATTTTAATCATACTTCAGAAGGTTCTTAGTTTGAGGTTAAAATGCATTCTATAGAGGAGACACCTTTTAAAGAAATTATTTTTGTCGGAATGGGATAGTTTAGTATGACAGTTTCTCAAAGGAGGGTGAGAAATTCCAATATAAATAGTTATCCAAGAATAACTGCTGCTCTCAGTACTTAATTGGAATGTGTGGGATTTAAGAATGAACTAGTACTTGCAGTTAAGAGCAACAGAGGCTTGAACATATACTGTGTGCTGTCTCTGGCTGTTAGTGAAACTGGCAACAGGTGTGTCTGTGTTTTTGTTTTGCAAGACAGCGGTAAAGTAAAACAGCCTCCAAAATATAATTTGAAAAGGCATGATTTTAAGATTACATGAAAAATGAATCTCACTGCTCTGTGTTCAGTATGGAGGGAAATTATATTTTCCAGGTATTCCTAGTAGTCTACACTTCAAAATAGGGTAGGTGTGCAACCCTCACAGGTTCAGTGTAGTAGAAACGTTAAGGCTAGCTTTTGATAGCCCCTACAAGTATGATCTTGGATTCTGAGGGCCATTATTTTCCTTACTGCTAAGGTAAATATTAATATTGTTAGTAACAGTTGATTTTTCTCACAGGTACTGTGTACTTTATGTCCATGAACAAAAGTTAATTGCTAATCCTCCCTCAGTCCCCAAGCACCTGTTTTACTTCCTTATTTGTTGCATAACCCTATTAGGAATTTTTGGAGTTTGACTGCCAAGTTGCTGGTCTTCTTTTCAGTTTGATTTGGAATGAAAAAAGACCTTTTGTAAACGTTAATACATCAATGTTATAATGTTACTGTTAATGTTTTAACCAAAGTTTTGAAAATTAAATTTCTGTGGACAACAAGAACATTTGGGGCATTTAGTGTAGGTTGTAAGAGAAAAGAAATGTCATTTTTCCCTCTAATCTCTCATTCCTTTTTTCTTTCTTTCTTGTGCAACTAAGTCTACAAATTTTGACTCTAGTCCACATAATTTTTGGTAGTTTGCAAAAGTAAATCTTAATTTAAAATTATGCTGAAATCATGTGCTTCACCCCAGTGTTCACAATGTTTTTTGTTTGCTTTCTTCCTAATTTGTTGACTTCTAGAAATTATATTAAGGCTTTAACATCTAGAATTAGCTGTGTTCTTTGCCTCACCACAGTTAAAATAGTACAGAAAAAAGATAAATGTGGGATGTAATGCCTTGTTTTTGACACCTTGATGCTCTTAGGTAGGTGACCACAGGGTGGCGGTGCTCCTTACGTGGGGAGGGCTCTCAAACCTGGCTACCCGGGCTCGTTCTGGAGTCACTAGAGGGTAGTGTTGCCGAACTTTGCTTCGGGAGCAGCTGCAAGGCTGTATGGCAGGAAAGGAGTTACAGTTTTGTGCTCGCTCTCAGATGGTGAAGGATGTTCGAGCGCTGCTGGAAATAGGATTCTGCTCAGTTTAGGCTGTGATGCTGAGATTTATGAGCTGAGAAGTGTGAAAGCAAAAATGTTAGCCCTGGTTCTGAACGTTCCCAAACAAATTTTTTTTTTCAGAGTGGGAGGCCAGTTGGGTGAATTGTTACTTTGTGCTTGCCCCAAGCAGCCTGCCCTATGGATTTGCTGCTAGCTGTTTTCAAATGCCATAGGGGGATAGGTGATGCTTTAGCTCGAGTCTCTTTTCTTGCTGTGTTCTTGCTCAGTTGAGTTTGGAGATCTGTGTGCTATTCAGCCTTGCAAAATAAATAAAGCGAACTACCTAATCGTCATCACAACTGCTATAGTAAAGCTGAGCTGAAGCAGTTACAGCAAATATCAGGGTTTCTTTGGGATCTGAGCTAGCTCCTTGTGAGCCAGCTGGCTGTCAGTCTTGTGGTTTTGGTTTAAGGGTTGGTTCCCACCCAACAAGGACAATGTGACCTGAAGCCTTGTGAGCAGTGATGGTAAAAAGCCTCAGGAGCACACATTGTTTTTAATGTATTATTAATAGCTGATGTGGATGCTGTCTAGATTCTTAATGGCTGGAAGTCTTCCTGTCATGATGAATATTCAGTCTGCTAGTCTCATGATGTGTAAGAATTAGCTTTCAATGAGAAGTTTTTGCTTCTTTCCCTTTGTTAGTAATGTCTTAGTCAAGTATGTTGGACAGATACTTTAAGCCTCTAATTTTAAATATTTAAGGAGAAATTGAAAATGAAGAACTATGTATTTTAATTTGGATCTCATAGGTATGTAATAATGTGTCATTCTTTTAGAGTTGGAGACCAAATAGACAGGCTACACACAGTCCTCGCCCACCAGAGTAAGTCTGCTTCTATTTCTGATCAGCTTGTTTAATTGTGTATATTATTAATTCAATGCATTTGCATTTGTAGTGACGTGCAACTTAACATTCCATGAAATTTATCATCATAGGTTTGTTTTCTGTGATTTATATTTGGAGCAGAATATTTGATGTATTATTTACTTTGGAATCAAGTTGATTTATGTTTGGCTGAGTGGAGGTTTAATTACAGAATGGGTAAAGATGGAAGAGACCACATTGGGTCTAACCCACTGGTCCATCTGGTCCAACCTCCCTGCTCAAGCAGGGTCATCCCAGACCACATTGCTCAGGATTGCATACAGATGGTTTTTGAGTAGTTCCACTGAGGGAGACTCCACAACCTCTCTGGGCAACCTGTTCCGGTGCTCAGTCACCTGTGCTGAAGAAGTTTTTTTTGGGTGGAACTTCCTGTGCATCAGTTTCTGTACTTTGCCTCTTGTCCTATTGCTGGGCACCACCAAGAAGAACCTGGCTCCATCCTCTTCAGAGGGTGTTACTCAGAGCTACATATTTATATATTGTTTTTCTTGAATATTTTAATGTATCTGCAAAAGAGAAAAATGGTATTTTAGCTATTGACTGCTTTTTGAAGTATTACAGTAAAAACTACAGAAAAACTGTTGTGAAGGGTTTTTATGAGTAATGGGAAATTTTGTTTGTGCTTTTAAAATTTAAAACCTTATAATGACTTTGGCACTTGAGGAATATCTGCTCTTCCAAGGACCATGATTGATAGTTTAGTCAGTTTTATTTACTGAAATGCCTTAGAGCTAATGTATGTAATTATTTTATAAGTGTCTGTGACTATGACCTTTGATTCTTCCAACCAAAGTCAAAACATTCCAATTTCTGTGTACTGTCTGTCATTATCTAATAAAAAAGACTGTAAGATAAAGAACTCTTTTATTCCAAGAAGATATAACAGAGTTGCTTGCATATATTGGTGGTAAAATATAAAAAAAAAATGTATTCATGGTGCTCTGCAATATACCTGGAGTACAGGCAGAAGGCACAGAGATGCTTTCGTGAATTGGAGATGTTTTCATTTCTTTAAGCAGAACAAAATACTGAGGTATGGTTGTCTTCTACTGTGTTAATCTCCTATGGAAAGGTCAGAAGATTTGCATCCCAAGTAGAGATTGCTTCCCTTTTGCCTCTCTGTTGACTGATTATTGAGGAATGTTGACATGGATGTGCTGCAGAAGACAAGAGTAAGGCACCCCTCATTTATGATCATGTTGCGGTAGCTCCTGTTGGGCAGGCAAGAGAAGCCAATGTGGGAGTAAAGAGGGATCCTTTTCAGCTGCCAGGGTACTCTGCTGCTGGGGAAGAGAAGCTCTGTGGCCCCTTGCTGAGCTGAAGCAAGAGGGGCTAATAGAGATTTGCTGAGTAGGCCATATCCAGTTTCGTGGAAATTTTTGTGAAAGACCTAATAATAACTAATAGGCAGTGCTTTTATTGTAGTTAAAACATAAGGGAATGTATTGCTGTTAAAATTGTTTTAACTCCCTGCAGGGTGCCATGCCTAGATCTAGGGAGGCTGGGAGATTCTGATGAAGAGGTAATTGTAAATTACTTTTGTCTCAATAAATTTTTAGAATTCACATTTTTCAGGAATTTATAAAAGTATCACTCTGAATAGAAAACAATTATGATTGCTTGTCCTTTTTTTCCTGTGATTTTAGGACGGGGACTCTTACATACCGTACACTGGAAGGTCTTCTCATAGGTGCCAGCTAGATTCATCTTCAGGGTGGAGAACGTCATTACAGACTCCATATGCACAGCATCAACATGTCAGTCTGTCACTACAAATATCTTCATAATATACCCCTTTAGCAGTAATTTAGAAAAGCATGCATATATTTTCTTTTTATGTAAGTTCTTTTGGTTAAGCTCATATCTCCAGGTGCTGTTGGTCCAAAATATTTTTAGCAAAGTTTTTTTACTGAGATTCTTTAGAATATTTAGAAAAAAATATTTTATTACATAGCTTAGCTTTTTGTTGATTGATACACTTACCCTTTTGTTGTACTTATTTTTTAAGAACTATATTAATAGAAATAACAAAGATTAGTAGTAGTGAGTGTGTGACTGAAGACAAAATACATGTTTATGAACAGTATTATTTCTGTGGCACAGTAGTTACTTCTGGTGAAAAGAAAACTTTTGTAGTTACTTGCAGCCATTTAATGTTTTTGTTTTTTCTTAGGGCTGTTTTCTTTAAAACAGATCTGTGACATAAACTTTAGAATTACGTCTAATTTGTTGATGGTCTTTTTATTGTTAGAATTTCCTCATCATGTTATCTTTCCCCTCATGGATGACTAAGAAACTTAATCACCACTAGTCTTACATGCTTTTTAAGGAAAATCAGGAGCCTAGATGCTAATATTCTGATTTACAGTACAGTGCAACATTGTTCAGGATCAATATCCACTATAAAAGTTTTTAGAGTTAATTTAATTACTCAGTTATTACACTTTCCTGAATGCAGGGAAAGAGTTCTTTTGAATTCTTATATCTGAATTAATTGTGAACAAATTAAATGTCACAAATTTTTTTTGATCATGATACATCTTATTTCCTGCTTTTCTTTAAATAGGTGTCTAGAAAATTGTGTCAGAACAAAATGGAGGTAAAGAAGTTGAAAAAATACAGACTGACAAAAAGTCTTATCAGTTCAGTACTATGGTATATGGTCTGAAAATATAATATATTATAATTTTTTATGTGACAGGAACTAGCTTATTGGGGAAATTATTAAAATTACACTGATTAAAAGTCCATTATTTCAAAAATATTTAACTTATGTAAACCTAAGAAATATCCAAATGAGTGTTAAAAAAACCCCCAGGATTTTAAGTAGAAGGAAAACGAATTTTAAATTAATTTGTACATAACCTGTGCTCCTTGAAACAAATAATATAGTAACTTGAAAGGCAGAACTCCAGATTGGCTGGAGCTCAAGGTGAATCTGCCAAGATCACTATTTTGTGTTTCCCTATATAAGCAAATGGTTTCTGTACTTGAAAAACAATTTCATTTAAGTAAAAACTGAAATGGTAAATGTTTTTATGGTCTTTTTAAAATAATGTACTAAGAAGTTTTTAGAATACCTAGGTGTTTATACATGTCTCAAGATGTAATTGTAAACATGTAAGTACAGATAGGTTATTTTCCTTTCTACTGCCTTGTAAATGTGCAGTGCAAACATGCTTCTGTTGTTATGGCCTTTTCGGGTCTGGATGCTTATGATTACACTGCTTGCTTTGCATTTTTTTAAACAAAGTTCCTGTGTATAACACTGTCAAACTGCAGGAGTGCTAGTAGAAGTTTGGTAGGGCTTTGTTTCTCAGGGTCTGTCTCCCTTTTCTGCTTTCCTTTATCTCTTGTTGCTTCCTTTCTGCCTTCATTATGTCTTAAATTCTGAGCGCTTAAAGTATTGGAATGTAGCTTCTGTTTCCTTACCCTTTCTCTCTCTTCCTCTCTCCCTTTTTTTTGCCTGACTTGCTCCCCATCTTCTTTTTTTTTTTTTTTTTTTTAGCTGTTTTAAAATATTTTAATGCATTCTCTGAGAGGCCTTTACTTCTGCATTTCTTGCTTCTGGGGCTCTGACCAAGCTTTCCCTGAGCCAGATAGATTCCCGCTTCTTCAGTAACTGTGTAAGTAAATTTTCCTAAAATAGGCCACTTTTGGAAGAAAAATTTAAATATACTCTTATAATTCAGGAATTAACCAGGGAAGGGATGTGAATCCTGTTTTGAAGGAGAAAGTTGGCTCTTCAAAAACATAAATCTTTTTGGGTTTTGAGAAATGGTTTTCTAGAGCAAGACTGTAACATGTTGTTGCAAGATAAGTTGCAAGTGTTGAGTAGAGATGCTAGAGAAGGCCATCTTACTTTTTTTTTTTTTTTTTGTTAGCATTGAAGGAATATAACTTAAATATTGAAGGTGTTAGTCATTCAGGGAGACAGAAGAGAATGGAATCTTGGACTTCTGTCATTACTGCCCTTTCTACTGATGCCAGCCTCTGTTGTGCGGAGCTCTGAAACGGGTGTAAGTTTAGAAAGGTACTCAGCTGTGCAGCTGATGTTGTTCTAAGGAACAGTGTGCCAGTTCTCATCGGCCATACAAGAGTATTAGAACTCCTGACCAAAAAACATCCATCCGTCTATTTTCAGCCATCCAAAAATCAAATGTCAAAATTTCCATTTTAGTGATGTTATAAGGCAGAACCACTGAATCTGACTTCTTTTTTAAAAGTAATGTAAAACCATTTGAGAGTGTGTTTTAGATTTAAAAATGGTAGAATTTGAAGAACTCAATGAAAATTAAGCCTGAATGTGCAGTCCTGTTTGCATTTTTTCTTAATTTGAAGCATCGTGTCAAGAAGTTTCAGACATTATACTGGAAAGGAACTAAAAAAACGCTATTTGCATTCAATAGACCAGACAGAGGCTTTTATGTTGATTACTCATTGCTTTAACATCCTGTTTTGGAGCAGAAGACAAGACCAGAAAAGCTGTCATCCCTCACAGACAGACCCAAACCGAAGCACGGTCTGTATGAAGCAGATACGAAGGAAGAATATAAGCAACATCCTCAGAGAATTGCAGGAAAGAAAAAAGACCACCTCCAGTGTCCAGACACTTCAATAAAGGTAGCTGGCAAAGTAGAAATTGCATTTTTAAATAGCAAATGTACATCTCTATTTAATTATACTGTTTGGAAAGGTTTGCACATGTATGTAATTTATTTCATGTTTTTATTTAAAGAAATAAAACCATGTAATTTAAGCATCTAATGTTGAGGAGGAAATAATCTGTAGGAACGTTGTTTCAGTTGTTGCAGAGAGAGAAACTGAAGTGCTCTGAGAATTTATGTATGGTTGTGTTCCCTGGTAAAGAAAGTAACACTGGCCTTCCTAGTGCACCTCTAGTCTGAGCCTGAAGATTAGCATGATTGATAAGGGAGAACTTAAAGCCTATAAGAAGAGGAGAGACAGCAGGAAGATCTTGGTAAAGTGTTATTTCCAAAACCAGAAATTCACTCAAGCTTTTTTATTTTTTTAAATCTAGAAGTACTTTAATTGCTATTCTGTAAATTGGGACTGTATATAGGACTTGAAGAAGGAGAAATGAAAGATTTAACCTGTTCCTTAGAGAACTATTAACACTGAAAATGGAAAGGAATATGGGGTTAAAATAACAAAAGGTATTATCTGTACTTTTTGCTTTGATGTTGTACAGTTCAGATTCAGTACAGTTGGACTGCAAGCGGTACTAATTCTGCCAGTTTTCCTTTGTGTTTTCAAATTAAGGTGGAAAGAAGGGTAGATCAGTGGAGAGAAACTGGAAAACAAAGGGGTAAAAAACCCCAACTTTCATCTTGTTTGGAAGAGATAGTGGAGGAGAGTGGTTGAACAGGGAAAGGTGCATCGTTGTAGGTAAAAGAAAGCAGGAAACCTAAGTAAGCAACAGCTGTGAGGACTGGTTGAATGCTAAATTCTGCTGAGGGTAGATGACCATTTAAGAATCCTAATGGAAAGTTAAGTATGCAAATGTTGATAGAACATATTGTGCTCATTGCTTTTCAGAGAAAATTATGAATAACAATGAGTTTACTGAATTTACTTTCTTAATATTCAGTAGAATGAAAAGGGAAGGTTTTTCAAAAGAAAGATTGTTTCACATATCACAGACAGCTTTAAAAGAGCTTTCTCTTCATAGTTGTGCTTCTAGTGATCAGATAAAGGAGCACCTGAAAAAACCTATTAATAAACATTCTGTGAATAAGAGGTGAATGAAAAAAAAGTTGAGTTTATTTTGAGGTTTGGTTTTATGTTTAGTGGCAGATAAGATTTTCTCTTTTGGAGATTTGTTATAGTTTGGTGTTTTGTGTTTTTTGTGGGTTTTTTTTTTTTTTTTTCCTTTTCTAATGATTCCACTCTGATGTACTGGTCTGACACTCATATAATCCGTTTTTCAAGGAGTGACTTCTTTATATGCACTACTGCAAGCCCATCTAAAGGGTACTTACAGGAGGAGCCAAGTTATCTGAAAATGAAGAACTAGATGGCAAATGTATGCTGGGAGAGAAAAAGCAGGACTGGTGATTTTGGGTTCCAGATACTTGCTAAGCACTAGAAGCATGTGTGTTATTCTTCTCACAGATTTTAATATAATGTCTATGAGAACATTTTTTTGTGTGTTAGATATCATCACTACCTGATTAGATTTATAAATAAAAAAATATTTCAATACACTTGTTTTGCTTGATTCATGGAACTTGTAACAACTTCTCTTTTCCATAAAGGTGCTCATAGAGGAGATTGCTAAAACTGTTTCTGTCAAAACTTCCTGTATCCTTTTTTTTAATATTATCCATGTACAAAACATTTCTGTAATGCTCTGGGACTGGTTTACAAGTCTGTTAGGACCAGTAGCATGCTTTGGCTTTTCCCTGTCTAGGCTATATTTAGCTTCTTCACTGGTCACAAAGCAGTATCTCTACAGTGAGCTTTGAGCTTTATACCTAACAGCAAATCCTCTGCTTCCACTTGGCTGTTCCTGTGCAGGACAGAAAACAGACAAGTTCTTGTCTTATCCTCAGAGATACTAAAGTCTGCTTTCTCTGACTTGCTGCTGTTTTTTTCACAAAGCCTGTAGGAATACAGTATTTTGAGATTTTTAAAATTTATTATTTATTGCAGTATAAATTAAAACTGGTAAGTATTCAAAAGGTACAAATCTTGCTCTCTAATCTTTCCTTGTAAGTTCAGTTTCTGTAGAAAGCTAGACTTAAAATCTTTTAGTTAGCATGAAGTAGAAGAAGTAGACATTTTAAAAAGTAAAAAAGAAAGTAGTATTTTAAAATAAATTGTTGAGGAAAACATGTGTGGGTTTTTTAGTTTGTTTTTATTACAATTCATTACATTTGAGTTACCAAAAGAATGTATTTTTTTGTAGGGTACACAGCTTGAAGATGGACACTATGATTTTGTAACCCTCGATAAGAAAGCTCTCCTGCAACAATGCTATACAAACAAACCATATAATATGCAGCACAACATAAGGAAATCAGAAGCTGTAAGTATTTGGACTGGTATTGTGCTGCTAACCACCTCGATGTGGAGAATGGCTTCCCAGATGTTCCACAGAAGTTATACCTTCGGAGATTTGGGTCTAGTATGCAATTGCACCCATTGAAATCATGTGAGTTTAAACATTTCTCTCAATGGGAGTTGAACTGAGCAATCCAGTGAGCATTTTTTAAATCTTATCTGCAGTGTTTGTATTTTATGCAGTAACTGATATAAATGAGAACACGAATTATGAGTAATATATACAGATACATTCATACAACTACGAATGACTGAGGTAGTTGAGTGAACCTAAACATAATACATTCAATGTCAGAAGTTGGACTTTGATGATCCCGGTGGATCTCTCCCTGCTCAGGATATTCTATGATTTCTTCTGATCTGTAGCTTTTAGCTGAGCCTGTATTCAGTGGTCCACGGATTCCATAATTCCATCAGCTAGTATTATATTAAGTCAGCAACAACTGTGCCTGTGTCTTTAAACTCTAGGGATGGAGCTTCTACAGTGTCTCTAAGCAACATCTTCATGTGACATGCTATTCTCTGTGTGAGGAAGTTCTTCCTATTGTCCACACCAATCCTCCCAAGGCCCAGTGTGTAACCTTTACCTCCTGTTATACTCTTGGCTTTTGTCAAGAAAGTTTGGTTCTCTTTTCTTTATAACTTCTCTTCAGAATGCCTCATAGCTGCTGGTTCTGCAAACTAAACAAACCCAAGCTCCCTTAGCTGCTCCTTTCAATTGCTTTTGCTCTGGTCTTTAGTCAGATCCTTTCTGAAGGAAGAAGGAAGCCCTAAAGTCTGGAAATCACCATGGACTCAGTAGCATGCAGAGAGGGGAATTAAAACTTTCCTTACATGGATGTACCCAATACACTTCTTTAATTTATTATATAGATGTGAATTTTACTGTTTTTGGGACTGAACAATAGGGGTCTTGCCCATCTGAGGCCTTGAATTTAGGATCATTTACAGGGATGAAGAACCTTGATTTGATATTGCATGATTCAGTATTTCCATATGTAGAGTGATGGCTTTTATAACTGGTTTTTGAAGGGATTGCTGAAAAGGGTTATGTATTCTAACTTTCTCATGGAATAATAAGCCATGATAAATTTTATGATGTTTTAAAGTAAATAGTAATTTGAATTAATTTTATTTGCTCATCACTATGCATTGAATTTTGCATCATTGCAACGATTTATTTGATTTCTAGTCTTGTTGAAATGAATGCAGATGTTGCTCTACTGAGGTCAGTGTTAATTTTCATGTCAAGAAAATCTTTTGTGGAAGTACTTAAGCTTTTATTTTTAGAATAAATTAAAAAATCTATACTATTGGCTAAAGATAATGGAAAAAAGTCTTGAAGTATCCCTAGAGTAACTACTCAATGCTAAAGCAAATACAGTGAAAGCCCTGAGAAAGGGAGGTGTGCAGAACTACAAAATAGAAGATATTCTATAGCTGCCATGCTTTAAAATAGAGCCAGCAGGTGTCTGAGCAAGGTGTTACTGAAGCTCTTCAGAACCCTTTTTTTATTCATTAGCACTCATGGTCAGCACAGGCTGACTCATTCTGTCTTTTGAGGACCATCTCAGGTTCTCCTAGGTCCAGCTTCTGATAGTGGTAGAATACAGGAAAAAATTGGCAGTAGTAACTGCATGTGTATTAATTCCATTTTGTATATATTGCCTCAATTGCTGGCATTTCATTTTATCTACGTGAAAATTTTGCTCAAGAATACACAAAGTTAATATGTCCTTTTACTATAGTCATTACTGAAAAGTCAAATGTTAAAGTAGAAATTCTCTTGATTTTTCTCTAATTTGGGATGAACATTTGCTAGTGGGGTTCTGCAGGGCTCCATCTTAGGCCCTGTGCTCTCCAAAATCTTCATAAATAATTGGGCACAGGACTGGAAGGGATACTGAACAAGGGATACATAAGTTCACATATGATATAAAACTGGGAGGAGCTGCTGACTTCTCGAAGGCAAGGAGGCCCTGCAGAGAGACCTTCACAAATCAGAGGGCTGGGCAATCACCAAACACATGAAGTTAAACAAGGGAAAGTGCCAAATTCTGCACCTGGGACGGGACAACCCTGGATGTGAGGGCAGACTGGGGAATGAGATGTTGGAGAGCAGTGCCATGGAAAGGGATCCTGGTCCATGGCAAGTTGAACAGAGCCAGCAGTGCCCTGGCAGCCAGGAGGGGCAGCCCTGCCCTGGGGTGCATCAGGCACAGCATCCCAGCGGGGCAAGGGAGGGGATTGTCTTGCTCTGCTCTGCACTGGGGCAGCCTCACCTCAAGTGCTGGGTGCCAAAATATAAAAAAGGTGTTAAACTATTAGAGAGTGTCCAAAGGAGGGCATCAAAGATGGTGAAGGGTCTTGAGGGGAAGCCGTATGAGGAGCAGATGATCGCCTCACTTGTTCTGTTCAGCTTGGAGGAGACTGAGGTCTTCAACATCCTCATGAGGGGAAGAGGAGGGGCAGGTACCAATCTCTTCACTCTCATGACCAGTGACAGGACAGGATGGAATGGCCTGAAGTTGTGTCAAGAGAGATTTAGGCTGGGTATTAAGAAAAGGTTCTTCACCCAGAGGGTGGCTGGGCACCAGAACAGGCTCCCCAGGGCAGTGCACACAGCACCAAACCTGACAGTTCAAGAAGAGTTTGGACAATGCTCTTGGGTACATGGTGTGACTCAGGGATGGTCCTGTGTGGTGCCAGGACTTCGACCTGATGTTCTTTGTAGGTCCTTTCCAGTTCAGTTTGTTCCATGACTTTTTGATTCACAGCCCATTGCCAATAGGTTTCATGTATAACCTCTGAAGAAGATTGGTTTCCTCTGAATGTTCATATTTAGGGACCAACAGCAACTACTTCTGCAGTGAGAGCTGCTACAAATTCAATGTTTGCCTCTGCCCTAGGCATTTTTGTAATTTCATAGTAGAGCTGTTGTCTAAGAGCAGAATGGAAGAATTAGGTCATTCAGTGACCTAATATTCAATTGAAATTTAAGGTGTAAAATTTTTTTACAATAGAGCCTTTCTCCAAAGGCTCTATTGTACTTACAGAACGTATTGGAAACAGTACAGAAATAAGAATTTTGTCTGTAAACCTAAATGCTAGAATTCTCATATTTATTACAACTAATATGCACAGACAAATTGAGTGTGTAGCAGAGAATATTATATGTCTATTTTTTATGCAAATAGACTCTATTAAAATGTAAAAAAATATTAATTGTGACATGGGTAAATTTGTGACCTCTGAATGCTGTCTTAAAGGGTAACTTGTGATTTGAAGTGCCTGCTATTATATATTTCACTTGTTCTCAGCCAGTTTTTCATTGCAGGAAGATGTTGCTGCAGAGAGGAGAAAACAGGCTGTTGTAGAACAAGTTATGGTGGATCAATTATGTAGGTAAATGAATTTATAATGTAAAATTTCAATTTTCCCTACAGAATAATTTAGATCCATTCGTGTTTGTCTTTTCTTGCTTAAGAGGTGTTTTGATCATTTTGTTTCAAATCATATGAAGTCTTATGTAGTAGTATTATTTGCAAAAATTCTTTAAGTGAAAGGCTTTTTAATGCAACTTAAAAAATCAGTTCCAAGTGCCAAGTGTATGTTATTTTTTTTTCTGGAAATAATTCCTAATTTTATGCTTGAACCTCTTTTAAGGTCTGTACAATAGCATTAGCTCTCAAAAACAGCCCTGTTGCACCTCAAGAAAATACATGGATGCCTGATCTTATAAATTACTTGTCCTCAATATTTATTGTCCTTTCTAAAAATCTTAGCTTTATTAATATTTATTAATCCTTTATTAATACTGAAGCAACACCTCTCAGGCATAAAGGAGTATTATACCAATGCTTGGCATGTAGGAAAAAGGCACTATTATAAGCTGAGTTGGTCCAGGTTGTACAGTAAGGTCTCCTGCCTTCATTGCTATCCCTTTAGCTTCAAGAGAGCATTGCTTCTCTGCAGAAAGATCCCTCTATTTTAAGCATGCTTTAATAATTCAGGGCTTTATGCAAGCTGCCTGGTTATGACAATATAAGAAGATGCAAGCTAGTTTAATATAGTTTCATGTTACTTTATACTTACAAGACATTATCTCTGGTTATGTCTAGATTATTTTGCATTCTGTGCATAGTTTACAGTCTCTGGAGTCATCTGCACTGGTGTTCCAGCCCATCAAATCCTAAGATTTTGAGGCTGAAATTTTGTTGCACTTCACCATTTTAGGTTTTATTTGTGTCTGTTACAATGGCAGTTTAAATTACCTATATTGTCTGAAAGTCTATTAGCACTTTTACACTATTTAAAAGCTGACATGACAAGAAGGTTGCCCGGGGGAAGTAAGACTGTCATGAAACACAATGTTAAATTCCGGTTTTAATCCTGAGGATTAAAATTATGGAACTATACAAGGTTGAAACCCCCAGTTTTCAGACAAGTGCTTGGCTTGTGTCATATCCCTTTAAAGATTATTACAGAGGTGATCTTAAAAATATGCTGGTTATGTTGAAGTGTTTTAGTACTACTGGTGTTGCATTAAATGTACAGCTTTGTGCATCTTGGATCATGGATGGCCATTCTGTGTTTATCCTCCTTCTGCTGCTTTGCCTTATTTTTTCCATGTCTTCCTTCTCCTACTCTGAACCCCTCTGTTGATAATGTCAAAACAATATTCAGTAGTGCTGCAGCTGCATCAGGATGAAGTTTTAATTTAAAAAATCTCTCTGTTTATGTTCCAAATATAACTCTGCCAGTACTTCTAAACAATTTGGAATCAGATAATAGGATGTTAATTGGAAAAGATTAGTTCAAAACTGTTGCATGAAAAAAAGCTATTTAAGGAAATACAAAGGTATTTTGAATATTTTTTTAGTAGAGCAAATCTTGCAATTAAATCAGTGTAACTGATGTGTACAAAGATGTATCTGTAAGGATCAGAGAGCAAGTTTAGAAAACTATAATAGCCATGCAAAATTATTTTTTTCCCTCCTGATAACCATTTCAATAGCATAACAAGCATCTCATTTATTTATAAATGTTCTCTTCTTTTGTTTACTTGTTGAACTGATACAGAGAATTTCAAAATGTTCAAAACCCAGTTAATCTGTTCCTTTTTTCTCAGCTGTGCAGTTAGCACTTTGAGGGAGGAACTGCCAAAGGTTTTGTTGGATGACAGATTGGATGGGGCTCTGAGCAACCTGGTCGAGTGAAAGGTGTCCTGCCCACAGCAAGGGGTTGGAACTAGATGATCTTTAAGGTCCCTTCCAACCTAGGCTACTCTGTGATTCTGAGTTGATGTCACTGGCCAGTGCTAGTAGCTGATATCACTGATATTGGAGGGAGAGCCATGGTTAAAGAATATCACTGATGGAATATTTACAGAAATAATAGAAATTATGAAAGACCCCACAAGCCTTCATAATACTAAGATTTATTTTATAGAAGATATATAAAATATACTTTAAATAATATCTGTCTGCATTTAACATAACTACATAGCAGTGCACTGCCAGAATATTATTGCATATGTTTGATTTTATGAAATAGACTTAAGAATTTGTAAAAATAAACAAAAAATTAGGCCCACAAATTTATGCAAGCTTAATGGATCACTCTAAGATTGTATTACTATATTATTCTTGGGTGTTTTCTTTCCTGCATAAAAACATGTAAGACCTGAAATCCAGCCATACTGACAGTAACAGGGATTCTCCCTGCTCTTTGTGGTCAGAGCTGTTATAAGTGATCCAGAGCAGTCCACACGTTCTGATTCTTGCAAGGAAGCTCAAGGACTTCTGGGAGCTGGGATGGCACCAATGCGTTTTAGAAAAAGGACCCTCCATGAAACAAAGTAAGTTTATAAAAATAAATTTTCTGCTATATATATTTTTTTATAGCTCTGTGAATTCTGTTTGCTTTTCCAAATGTTCTGTTTTTGGCTTGGATCCACGAGCTTCACGTGAGGCCTTTTTTGTAGCTTTTCTGTGATTTTTATTGCCTGGTGAGATTACAGGGACCTCTTTATGTGAATTCTCTGTGAATTATGATTGATCAATAGAATTTATAAAAACTGGGAGAACATTGTTAAGCTTATGTTGACATTATTCATCACAAAGATTTGCCAGCCTTTTCCAAGTGGCTGGATGCTTGCAATCCTTTCAGAGATTCCTATCCTTAGGTTCATAAATTGCATAAATATGCATCTGTAAAGGCTAATGTAGATCTTCACAATAATCATACTTTTCTTTCATGTTTTCATTTCTGCTGCAATAATTAACCCTATTGGCATTTAAATTACCTACCTGGACTGTCAGCATTGAACTAGTCGCTCCAAGGACTTAAAAAATACCTGAGGAAACACTGTGATCCGTAAAATTAAATGAATCTGCAGGTCTGAGTTTTGTTCTGTTTTTGTCAACATTCAGGCAAGCATTTCTGCTTTGTGCATTTTAACATCCCGTTCTTAAGTCTTTCTCATCAAATGTCATCTTTGTATTTAAAAAAAAAAAAGGAAAAAAAAAATTAAAAAACAGTCTCAATTTCTTACCTTCCTCACACAGACAAATCTTCATTTCTGGAACTAGTAATAGAGCCAATATAAAATATTTATGTGGATAAAAATGCCCCCACCTGGGTATTTTTGCAAGAGAATGCATTGGTTCATGGAGGTGTGGTGGGTGGTAGAGGTAAAGGTTAATTCTTTACATAAGTGTATGTAAACAAAATTTCTCATTCATATCTATGTTCTCTGTGAATGTACTCTCATATTATATAATAACAGAACACTGTACAGCTCTAAGTTGCTTTCTAATTCAACTACAAAGGATCATCTCCTCAGCCAGTTGCCAAGGATACTGTATTTCATGGTTTTTGCTGTTTGAAAATGGTTGAGTTTTATGTAACATTTATCTGGGAGCATATAGGTATCATTAACATGTTGCATTATTTTCACAGAATAAGGACCAAATCAGGACTAACTGAGAACATGCTCTCCAAAAAACTATGCTTTGATAGTAGGATTATATCAAGGTAATCACAAATTTTGTGAGGCTTTTCAATACTCTGAATTTGTGAATGAGGATTACTGTCTTGAACTGATTAATTGCACTGAATGTTTCTCCTCCCTATGTTGAAAGAAAAAAGTGTGTGTGGGTGTCCAGGTGTAGTACAAATTTTGATGTGGCTAATGGATAGTGGCTTTACAGTCCCACTGTGCAATGTTAAGATCTGTAAGCAGTGCTATGTTACCATTATACCCATAGCTCTACTCAGGATAGTTACCACAGGGGCTGTGTGAAATACTGCTTTTAGCTGTTGCATCTCAGTTGATTAAAATTATTTTGGCCTCATCTTAGATGTGGCAATTACTATAAGTAGTAATGGCTTTGCAACCTGTTCATAGCTCCTTATGTATTAAATTTTGGAATGTCTTTGAAACTCTTCTGATTTGAGTAGTGGTAGCATAAACATATTTTTCAGTTTTGAAAGTGATGCTTTTCTGCAGCTGTGAGCTGTATACTTGTTAGACACAGCTGAATATTCAGCAACATACTTTCATATACCTCAGTGAATGCAGTAGTCCTGGTGTATGTAATCCTTAGTTAATCAGTGAAAATTACACTGGCATACTAAAACATGAAGCCTCAGGAGGTGTTTTTTTTAGCATTATGGAGAATGGAATATTGAATTAAAACACGTGACCAAGTCCATAACTTGAATTTCATGGTGGGTTAGAGAAAATAGTCAAAGAGCTCTTTAAAAAAATAAATTGTACAGCATGCAACATTGGAAATAAAATGGATACTGAGAGCAGCCTTGAGGAGAAGAACTTGGGAGTGCTGGTGGATGAAAAGCTCATCGTGATCTGGCAGTGTGTGCTTGCACCCAGTAAACCAGCCATGTCCTGGGCTGCACCAAGAGAAACAAGGCCAGCAAGGCGAGGGAGGGGATTTGCCGCTCTGCTTCTCTCCCGTCAGACCCCACCTGCAGTGCTCTGTCCCCCTCTGGGGTCCCCAGCCTGAGAAGGATCCGTTAGGAGTGACCCACAGGAAGGTCACAAAGATCATCAGAGGGAGGGTCCACCTCTCTTAGGAAGACAGCTTGAGAGAGTGGAATTGTCCAGTCAGGAGAAAGAAAAGCTCCAGGGAGACCCTCTTGCAGCCTCCCAGTGCCTACAGAAGGCTGCAGGGAAGTTGGAGAGGGTTTTTTAAAGGGTGTGCAGTAATAGGACAAGGAGGAATGGCTTCAAAGTAAAAGCAGGCAGGTTTAGATTAGATATAGGAAGAAATTCTTTACTGTTGGTGTGGTGAGGCACTGGAACAGGTTGCACAGAGAAGCTGTGGATGCCCCATGCCTGCAAGTGTTCAAAGCCAGACTGGATGGAGCTCTGAGCAGAGTGATCTAGTGAAAGGTGTTCTAGCCTATGCCAGGGGTTTTGGAACTGAATGATCTTTAAGGTCCTTTCCAACTCAAACCATTCTGATTCCAAAATAAATGTTACTTATGTTTGGGTTCAGTTGGATTTATATAGATAAAAAACATAAAAGTGCTTTTCAATTTTCCTTCTAGAAATGGTCATGATGCTTGCAGGGAGTTAATTGGATTTTTCTTTGCCTGTGACAAATCCCTTACTGTGTATGAATTTCGACAGTTTGGAAAAAAACAGGTGGGATGAATTACCTTATAAAAGGGTTTTAGAAAACATATTTCACTGTATCCAAGAAGCTTAAATTAATGTAATTGTTTTAGTAATTCAGTTTTGAATTATTTCACAGGACAAATGCCTTGCCTTTCATTCAGAAGGGAGTTTATCAACATCAACGTGGACAAAGAAGGGGAAAAGCTTATGATCTTAGTGACTTCTACGTTGCAAGTATTCTTTTGCTGAATGTAATACTTTTTTTTTTTTCTTTTTTGAGGTAATATTTGGATATTTGAATTGTAAATTGTAATCTAGCCTTCCGGGAAGACCAAAAGTATTCCCCTTAAGTGACATTTTTGAATTAAAGATTTTCAGAGGTTTGGATTGTTTTATTGTCCTGCGTTTTAGAGGTTCCAAATGTAGGTTTCAGATGAAGCTGTACTTTGCAGTTGTCCCCCTAGAGGGCACAAGACTGCTGACAGTGTAGACCTTTTTTGGACGAAGTGATCCACTCGGGAGGGAGTCCTGAAGCAGACCAAAGTACTTGTGAAAAGTAAATAATCTTTGCAAGGTCTGCTGGCCTTTTTAACTCGAAGCAATGATTAAATTTTTTTTAAACATGAAGAAATTGCAGGTTGTTTTTACTCTACAGTTTGAAATGTAAATGACCAGCTCTTTCGAGCAAGTGTATGAAACAATGTTAAGCTTTGTCTATCAACTAATCTGATGACTGATTAAAAATCATAATGCACCTTGCTGTACTGCTGTACTGGCTCAAGTATAAATACTTGAGCAAGTTTTCAAGTACAGACTGTTTTCACCAAATTCTTCAAATGCTCCTGCAAATCTGAAGTTTAGAGGAAAAACTATGTTTGTGAGAAATGTAGAAAGTAAAAGATGTTGACATGAATTTTTAGTGTGTTTTGTCTAATCACATGCCTATCCTAACTGCTTATACAACCACCTAAGAATTCAGAAGATGAAATAGATTAGTTTATGATATGGAAGATAAAGCTACTTGTTGAGATTTTCATATTTTATTGTCATGTGTATTTTTGCAGCCTACAGATAGAAATGTGTTGTGAATAAATATGCATCATTAAGTCACCCAGAAAATGTATTGCACTGAGTTCAGTATCTCTTTGGAATGATGCTGTGTCTGTGAATCTCCACATCTGCAATCATGCTTTCTGGGCTGACATTAAGACATGCAGATCTCTCACAAAGTCCAAGTGGTTGAGACCCTTGCACAGTAACAGTGTCTCTGTCTCCTCCTTCCAAATCCATGAGTTTTGGAGACGTTTTAAACCGAGCCTGCCCAGATATTAGTAGTTAGAGCTACTGCATATTTTAAATCTTCTCAGCATTCTTTGCTTTTAGTTTGCTGCTTTTCTTTATTTCCCCTTGCCCTCTATGTATAAAATACGCAACCTATTTTTAAATCATTGTGTGCTTTACCAACAGGGAGCCAATCTGACTTTCTGAAGTGTCGATCATAACCTTCCAGAAAGTGTTAAGCAGAACCCTTCACCCTTCGTGTGATAAGTATTGATGAAGCAGCTATGGATTATCTGAAGTAAGTGCTGATAACTGCTTTGCAAATTACCTTTCATTCCTGAAGCAAAAAAAAAAAAAAAAAAAAAAAGAAAGAAAAAATCCAGCTTCTAATACCTTATTACTTATACTGCTAAAAGCAGAATCCATATTATTTAGGTCGTTGTTAGGAGAAATTAGTAATTGATATTAGAAGATTTTGTGTAGTTCAGTAACTTCCTAGAATGGTAAGGAGTAATTTTAAAGAAAGAATTGAAATGTGAAGCTGTTCTTTTGCTTTGTTTGAGGTCACATGTTTTTATATACAAATCATATACCTCCTTTGTTTCAGTTTGTGCACATTGCCTCTTGTCAACAGGCACCACTGAGCAGAGCCTGTCTCAGTTTTCTTTACTCCTTTCTGTCAGGTATTCATATGTACTTGAGGGTAAGATCCTCAAGGCTTCTATTCTCCAGGCTAAACAGTTCCAGCTCTCCCGGGCTCTCTTCATAGATTTTGTACTTTGATCCCTTCTTGATTAGGAAGAGAATAATTTTAATCTCAATTAAATATGCTCAGTATATAAAGACTACTTTGTTAGCAGAACTTGACTATTATTTTCTTTCTGCAATTGTTCAGTCACATGAAGCTTGTTCTCAGATATGGTAATATTCACTTAAAAGTCCCTTTAGACTGAAAGCTTTGCAAAGGAGCTATAGTAAGCTAACAGTGCATAGAACAGTAAATTCAAATTTAATTGGTTCCAGAACTGTATAGTTGTATGATGCTTAGTGCTAATTGTTCCCTCTCGGCAAGGTTTCAGTGAAATAAAACACAAAACAGTTTAATTTCAGCTAGTTTATGTAAGACATTTTACATCTCAGAACCCTATCATTCAAGTAAAGCAGCTTTTTCTATCATTTGTGGCTAATCTTATACCTGTGAAATTTGGAGTTGAACCAATGTTATCTCTGAATAGGAGAACCATAAAGAAGAGCTGCTCAATGAGTTGTAATTTTGGATTTTATACTACCTGTGGTGGAATAGATTATTTCCTTTTTATACTCTCTCTGTATTCTTTCCATTAGTGACTAAGTTTCAGTCTATCTTTTTCTTCTGTATGATGACGTTTATTCCCTGGTGCATAACTCTTGAATTGAATTCTCTTACCTTCATTACTCTACTGACAGAAAATCCTGTTCAGCTACAGTCCAAAAGGTCTACTGCAGGTTCCCAGGAGCAGCTATGCCCTTCTGTCACAAACCATGAATCTTTTGGTTTACATATGTTCTAGAGGGGGTACATTGTCCTCTGCAGGTGCCTGTTGACTTTCCAGTTTAGGTGATCTTTTAGGGACTTCATAATGGAAGGTACCCAAAGTGGAGATGAAAAGTCCTACTAGATAGCAGAGAGATAAGTCTTTGGCCTCAGAAAGCAGGAGCAGGAGTATGTCATTGCAAAACACTGGTGGGCAAGCAGCTCAGACTTGACAGTAATGGTTTTCCATTTTTTAAAATATTCTGATTAAAATAATTGTAAGACTTATTTGAAAAGTATTACATGTTATTTTCCTGTTGGTGGTTAAATGTGGTTGCTTTAACAAACACTTCCAGTGGTATGAGATTAGGATTGAACTAAACTTCTGGAGAGTTTATGCATGGGAGAAATTATCCATGGTTAATGAATTAGTAGAGGCAATTCCAGTTAATATTGTTAGAAAAGAATTTCTGTGTATCTGCAGCTGGTCAGCAAAGACTTTTGTGAGTGCCCTATCAAGCTCAAGCAATTGGATATTTTGTTTGCAAGAGTAGTATATGAATGGAAGATAAAGTTGAGTATGTTGGCATTTTTTACTACATCTCTTTTGAATACAGTCATATTACATGTAATTTTACCAATCAACATTAATTGTGACTTCTTTAGAGCTTCCTCTGTGGAACTCAAGGAAGAGTGTTCCAGGCAAGTGGTGGATGACAGTGAAGTTTTCAAGAAGATTCAAGGTTTGTATCTACCAGAACCCATTCAATTTTAGTTTCTCTGTCTTTGTAGAATAAAGAAACAATTCTGTGTCTCGTAATGGAATTTTTGTATTGTTCTGAAGTAGTTCCAAAGTTGCTTTGTATGTTAAATCATGGCATGTAATCAGTTCTCACAGAAGTAGGCAGTTTTACAGTTTGAGGGCAGTAGCCATTTTTTTCTTTCCTTATGTGGTCTCTTTGAAAAAAGTTTATTAGATATTGCTTGTTAGACATACTTTATATGATTTTCACTCAGATGTTAAATAGCTGATGATTTCCTTTTGGACTGGCATTTTTTCATCAAAGACAAGGGAGTCTGAATGCATGGCTATCATATGTAGATAGTGTTCTTTACTTCTGTATTGTCTCCATAGTAAGTGGACAACTTCAGGTAAATGCTGTGTCTTTTTTTTTCTCTAAATCCTCAGGTATATTCAGAGAAACACTAAGTAAAAGAGGAGTTCGGGTTATAACAGGCTTAGGGAAGTATTTCCGACAAATAGACAAGAACAGAAATGGTTTTCTGTCTCAGGCAGCCTTGAAAGAAGCTCTAAAATTATTCAATTTGGAAATGCCTGAAGGGGTGAGTCTAGCTGAAACTGTAAACGTGGGTATTATCTTTCTTAATTTATGGAATTGCTTCTTTCCATGCTTAAATCTATTGTTTAATACCTGGGTTGTGCATGTTTTCTTTTGGTGGTTTTTTTTTCCCTATGGTATGTTGGCATTTCTGCACTCAGTTCTATGTAAAGTTCTTAAAAATAAAAAAAAAAATATATTTTAAAACATGCAATCTTTTTTTTTTACGTCATGACATGAAGAAGCAAGTATGACTGCAACCCATTTTTTCTCTTTAGGCTTTAAAAAAATAATTTTGTTTATGCTCTTTACTTAGGTTTTTTTCTTTGTTTTATATATTATGTTGTAAAAGCAGCTCACAGCTATCAGAACTGAATAATGTGAATTATGGCCATCAGTGATGTGTTATTTTAACAAATCTTTCAGTGAGTTTGGATCTAGAAGTTTAGGGGGGTTTTGTGAGAATACCATAATTTCCCATTATAGCAATTGTTCTATTTCAGGATATAGTGAAGAACTTTGGCAAAATATTTTTAAATTGCAGGACTTTGAATCCTTATGGCTTATTCTTGATGATAGCAAGAATGATAAAGTCGACTATGGAGAATTTACTCATGCCATATTTGGAGAAATGAATGAATATAGGAAAACATTTGTAAGAAAAGTAAGTTTTATTGCAGATATTTTAAGTGTGAATATTTTGCAGTCTAATTTTGCAGTTAGTCACTCATCATATTTTAGTTGTTGGGTTTTGTGGTTATTTTTCTTAAATTCTGTACCTGGAAATTGACTTCTTGAAGTTTCAGATCAGTTTATCAACAGAAAGGTAAATTAGTGGACTGCATGCTGTTCCATTGTTAAATTAGTTCATTTTAAATTCTAGAATTAATTCCTTTATTATTTTGAGTTTTCATGCATATGTGCTGTTCTTATAGTTCAGTCCCATGTAAGAAGTGTCTGGCACCCTGAGACGATCTCTTCCAGAAGCCTGTTTCCTTATTCTGGCAAATGACAAATTTTGGCAAATCTGCATGTATAGACTTTCTTCCTGCAGTGCCTGAAATAGGATGCAGTAATACTTGTCTCCTTTGAACCAACAGTGAGAGTCATATTTGTGAGACATGTTACATGTGAAATGCCACTTGTTATTTGTCTATACTGTAATGTAGAGCTGTTTGCAGTATCAGACACTGATCACAATCCAGCCAAAGGAGTAGCAACTGGATATCAAGATCAAGAAAAATGACATATACTTTCATGTTTTCAGTCATGGAGGATCTGACTCTCCTAGCTTTATGTATGGAGCATGTGTTTTTGAGTAAACTGAAATGCAAATGAAGCTGCTGTAGCAGTGCTGGAGAGGCTGTGGGGAGGCTTCTGCCAGAATGATGGGGAATCTTAATAATTGGAGGAGGCAGAAGGGAAGCAGCTGAACTTCTGATGCCAAGAATGAGCTAGAAATTAGGGAGAGAAACAATTTTTTTTGTGTTGACCAGGGGACATACATTTGATGTGAAAACTGTTGAGGTAAAATTATAATGAAACTGCATGATCTGGAATGATTTTCTAGTATGTGGTGCTCTACATAAAATAGGTAAATTGACATCATCCATTGCACAAGATCCAAAAGTATGTGCTAGGTAGTTAAGTGTATTTGATCTTTTTCCACTTTTTTTTTTTTTTTCCTGAGATGCTAATATGAAACTCTTTTTTTCCCCTATAGGCTTACATGAAACTAGATTTCAACAAAACTGGGACTGTGTCTATGGTAGATGTCAGAAAATGTTACTGTGCAAAGAAACATCCTCTAGTATTGGCAGGTGATTCACATTAACAAACTAACGAAAATTCTTAACTACGGAAATCTGGATCTGCTATCTCTATCAGCAGAGATAGCACATCCAGAAACTGGTTGGAAATACAAACTGTTTTCATATTTACTTAGGCTTGAGCTGTTAAAGGGGAACTTTCTTCATCTGAGGACTTAAAATGAGTCTCTCCAGAACGTAACTATAAGTAGTAATGGAGTTCATAAACACAATTTTAATACGTGCCCTTTTTCAAGCTGCCGGTATGCAGAGTAGTTCTTTTCCCTACCTCTGTAAGCAGTTATTTCACAGCTTTCATCTGTAAGTTATCAGTGGCAAATATGATATTAATGATTTTCACTTAGTAGGGTACTCTCATTTTCACTTTACTGTTTTCCATCAAAATATGCAAGGATTCCAACTGACACGGAATGTATTCAGCACTTGAATAATTTATTCAGAAGGAACTCTAATTTATATCTGGGACAGGTTTGTCATCCTGTACAGAGGAAATGCTGGTTTCTTCATTATTTTTTCAGGAGTTTCAGAAATGTTTAAAGTCTGCTATTGAAAAAATAGGAATTTAAATATTTGTATTCAGTTTTAAAAATCAATACCTCCATGTAACAAACTAGTCACTGTGAAAGTCTCCATGATGTCATGACCCTTTCTTTTTCTTCTGTAGAAGAGAGGTTTTTTTTAATATTGCCAGGGATTTTAGCGGTAACACATGAAGTCACATGTGGGTTAGGGATACAATATATGATTTTTTTTCCAATGCTGTAATGACATATTTTTTGTACTTTTTTCCTCACAAGTATTATCTTTATAAAATTGCTAGGACAAAGATGTAAATTGCAGAACACTTTTCAAATGCCAGTTTCCATCTTAAAGTTTTCCCAGAACTTTAAAGTTTTATTAGAGTACGCATACACTTTCTTACAAGATAACTTCAGAATTTTAGTTTACAAATGCATTATGCAGCTTTTGCAGTCATTTGAAAAAAAAATTCCTGTTCTCATAATTCATTGCAATTGGCTGACCCCATGTTTTCTGATACTTAATTCTACCATGCTATAAAAGTAAAGTAATTTCTACAGGTGGTAATAAGTGAGCCAATGACTTAATTCTGAAATCAGAATATTGGATTTGTTCATGAAAAAAATATTTGCAAGCTAAAATTTGAAAGTTTCTTGCCTGAAGTATATTAAATGCTACATATTCATCTTCTTTAGAATGTATTTAATAGAAAAATATACTTTCACAGGCAAAATTGCAGAAGAAGAAATTAAATCATCATTTCTAGAAGCATTAGGAGAGTCCTGCAGCAACCCCAATGAAGCGTCCTATTCTGAGTTTGAAGATTACTATGAAGGATTAAGTTTTGGAATTGTGGGTGATGATGATTTTGTTAATATTTTAAGGAATTCATGGGGAATTTAGAGTGGAAGATGACAAAAAAGAAGAAGGGACATTTTCTAAACAAGGAGTGACTAAGTAAGAGAGGACTTAGTCTTGATGTACATTACTTTATAATTAGAGTCTTAAACTGATTTCAGGGACAGAAAACTTTAGATGCTTTCAGAATAATATATGGCAAATTTCATGGAGTGTCTGTTGAGTTATGCTAGCCACTCTTCTAATAAAAATGCTGTTCATGTCTTTTCACTGGAAATTATTAAGGCTGTTTCCCATACCAAAAGCCATATTTTTTATATTAAAATAAAGTCTCCTATTTTAAAATAAGAGTGAATTAGAATACTAAAATGCCTGAAGGGGTATGTGCAAGAGACAATTTTGTTTTATGATGCATTGTGAAAATCTTCAGATTTGACTGCATAAGTGTGAATGGTAGCTTTTCTTCAGAACTTTTCTTTTAACATTCTTCATCTCACTTATTTTTTCTTATGCTGGTACTTAGCTTGAAAGAGAGCAGGTCATCGTTTTCCAATTTTGAGGGTGTCTGCTGTACTGAAAGTGCAGAGATGTTCACAGCATTTAGCCCCTTGGCCTGTGCACCCTCTTGACTGATCTTGCTTTGTCATTTTGATCACGCATCCAAAGCAGAGCATTGAATCTCAAAGGTTTTAGTAATCACACATGTATTTTGTAATGCATATCATCCTTTCCTGTATTTTGCTAAATGGTTTTCAAAACAAATAATTTATATTTAAATATCTGTTGTCTTTATATTGCTGGGATTTTTTGACTAAAACATAGCAATTATATATTTTGCCAAACTGATATATAGCATTTTCTATAGTAAGGAAAGTATAAAACGGAAAAGTATTTAAAAAAGGCCCAAAACATCCACCTCTGCCACCACAAAAATTAAATTATAAATTAAAATATTCTTTGCTATTTCAGATGTTCTGACAGGTACACTTTTCAATGTAATACATCTTGCCAATTCTGTAAAATTCTTTGTGTTAAGAAATAAAAATACACAGTTAATGAGAGACTTTGATTTTCATATACCTGTCACTGAAATTAACTGTATGTTGAACTGCATTGCTTAAGCCTATGCAATTAAAAAATATAATTTTCCTCTAAGCTTGTGTTCCTAATTTTGAATTTATATTCTATTGTTAAAACAATCTTCCTCTGAGACAGAATTTGTGTTCATAAGAATTAAAGGGCAGTGCTGGAACGGATGCTGAAATGAGGGACTCTGGTCCCCTGTGGCTGACTAGCATAGTCTAGATGTAATACTTCCTTGTTCTAATAAGTTGTGTGTTTTTATGTCTGGATTGTTTGACTGTGGTCTCAAATGTAACAAGTATTGGAGGGTCTATTCTAAATCCTCAAATGAGAGATCTTGGGGGGTTTTTTGGGGCTGCATAAGTCTGTATGTTTTTTACAGGGAAAAGCAGATTTTGTCAATGTGTATTCTAAGCAAAAATTCTGACTCATTATGATTTTCTTGTTCCCCATTCCTGCTGGAATTTCTCTCACTGGAAAGGTTTTGTTAATTAGTATTCTTGGAACTGGTGATTCTGAGAAGGGCAGGTGATTCTGAGGAGGGGAACTTTAGCTGGTTGTAGAGGGATCTGCTCATTAACGTGTCCACTCAAATAGCTGAAAAATGCCAAGTCACATTTTTGTTAGTTTTTTAAAGAATCATGCTCTATTTAGACTTTTTCACTTAGGAGAATTGTACCAACAGATAAAACTGTAGCTCAATTTAATGAATGAATGTGATTGTGAAATGAGGTATTGACATATTTCTTTATGCAATGTTTAAATTTATTGTGAAGCTTTTAGGAAAATAGTTCCACATTTTCCTATGGAATGGAAGAATTCAAGACAAATAGATGTATCCTAAGTGGGTCTGCTTGTCAGAAGAAGCTGTATAAGTCATATCTACTGCAAATTTATTTTGTTGTTATCATGGAAATCGGGTGCTGTTATAAGAACATAGCTTTGGTAGTCCTGCATTGTTTTTTTTTATCTGAAGACTGATCCCTAACAGGATAATCTAAGATAAATTCTAAAGGTCAAAATTTTCCTGAAAATGAAAGCAATACTGTGTTAATTATGTGAAACCTGCTAGCTATGTAATTTCTATTAACTATAAGGTCATTTACACAGGTCCTGCTTGACCAGCTTGATCTCCTTTTATGATCAAGTGACCTGCCTAGTGGATGAGGGAAAGGCTTTGGGAGTTGTCTACCTGGACTTCAGTAAATCTTTGACACCATTTTCCACAGCATTTTCCTGGAGAGACTGGCTGCTCATGGCTTGGACAGGTGCACTGTTTGCTGGGTAAAAAACTGGCTGGATGGCTGGGTCCAAGAGAGTGGTGGTGAACGGAGCTACATCCAGCTGGTGACCGGTCACTGGTGGTTTTCCCCAGGGCTCAGCAGTGGGGATAGTCCTTTTAATACCTTTATGAGAAGAGAGAATCAAGTGCCCCCTTCGTAAGTTTGCAGACTGTGTGGGAGTATTGATCCACTGGAGGGTAGGAAAGCTCTGCAGAAGGATCTGGGCTGGATCGATGGGCTGAGGTCAGTTCTGTGAGATCCTACACTTGGGCACCAAGGCTGAATGCCAGGTCCTACATTTGGGTCACAACAGCTCCATGCAGCACTACAGGCTGGGGACAGAGATACTGGAAAGTGGCCTGCTGGAAAAGGGCCTGGGGGTGCTGGTTGGCAGCAAACAAACATGAGCCAGCGTGTGCCCAGGTGGCCAAGAAGGTCAGTGGCATCCTGGCCTGTATCAGCCATAGTGTGGCTGACAGGACCAGAGCAGCCACTGTTCCCTTGTACTGGGCACTGGTGAGGCCACACCTCACCAGTTCTGGGTCCCTCACTACGAGAAGGAGCTGGAGCATGTCCAGAGATGGGCAACAGCGCTGATGAAGGGTCTAAAGAATAAGTCATATGAGGGGCAGCTGAGGGAACTCTGGTTGTTTAGCCTGGAGAAAAGGAGGCTCAGAAGAGACCTTACTGCTCTCTATAACCACCTCAAAGGAGGCTGTAGCAGGTGAGGATTGGCCTCTTCTCCCAGGTAACCAGCAACAGGACAAGAAGAAATGGCCTCAAGCTGCAATGAGGGGAGGTTAAGATTACACATCAGGAAAAATTTTCACTGCAAGGGTGATCAAGCATTGGAACAGGCTACACAGAGAGGTGGTGGAGTAACCATCCCTGTAAGTGTTCAATAAATGACTTAGCAGCACATGGTAGTGTTTGGTCAAAGGTTGGACTCAGATCTTGACTGTCTTTTCCAGCCTTACTGATCCTGTGGTCAGTTGTTGCCTCATCAGATGTGATGTCTATGATGAATTTTTAATGTCATTCATAAAAGTCAATCTTATCTGCCCACAGTTTCTCATTGTCTAAACTTCAGATGGTGGCAAAGAATTCAAACCAAATTCTTCCCAAGATTTGCCCACCATGCTTACTGTGAGTAGAAAAACACAATAACTATTCAAACCAAAGTCTGTGGTATCTGATTTTTCATTAAGAGTTGTCTCAATGGCCTGATTAATTGTGTTCTGACTTGCTCTTATTTACTTGTGAACATTTAATGAACCTGAATCCTTTTCTTTAATCAATGCTTTGTAGCTTTAAAACTATCTGGAAGTATCTACTGGGTTTACTGCCTTTAAATGCATTTCAAATAAACTTTCTACATTTGCTATCGTTTTAAGAATTGCCCATGTTTTCCAAATTAGAGTGTGTTCTTAGTTTAAGTGGCGTTCTCAAAGAAGATTCTTCACTGAAACTCACTGCTTAATAAACTAGTTGTCTTCATGCCACCATGATTTACACTTCTGCTAAAAAGATATAGCAATTTGCTGTAGTTGAGAACATCAGAAGTGCATTATGGTGTGAATGTATTTTGTCCTATTAGATGTGCAGTCTCTCAGAGGACAAGTAGAAATTAGCTAAGTGATTTAACTCCTTGTTCTTAAGGTCTGTAGCTACTTCATTAAATGAATATGCACTGACACTGTAAGCTGGAATGTTTAAGAGCACTTTGAAAAATCGAAGCATAGGCACACAAAGAGCAAACCCGCAGTAGCTTCACTTTGTCTGCTAATGGAAACACAGCATTCTCACATCAGGCTTGGCTTTGTTGCTGAGAGGATGCATTTTTACTGATTCACCCTCAAAAACTCACTTCTCTTCCAAGGTGATCAAATTGTGTGCATCTTTGTGTCCAGAAAAACAAAAATATTAAAAATGTGTCAACCACTGCGTGTTTGTAGGGATGTGCTGTTTACTTTTGGAGTTTGGGTTTTTGTTTTTCTGGCCATTGGTTATTTGGTTTTTGGTTATTGGTTATTTTGGTTTTTGTTTGTGCATTTTTTTTTTTTATTGTGTGACGGGTTTTTTGTGTTTTATTTGTTTGTTTTTGTTTCTTTTTGTAGTTTTATTTTTGGTTTGGTTTGGTTTTGAGCATGCTATCTCTACATAGTAAAAAGCCTAGAACTGATTTCTGACGTGTTGAAGAAAACAGGTGAGTTTCTGTGGCAGAAAAAAAGAAGGCAGAAAAATCTTTTTCTTTTCCTTGCTATTACTCTAATAGTTTATCCTTCTTCATACTTAGCAATTCAGAAACTGAGACAATTCAGTACTTGCTTTTCATGTTTTTAACCATCTTGTCTTTGAGAAGCTGAGTAAGAACTACTCTGTTGTAACCATCAGACATCTCCAGTGAGATGTCTACTTAGGCTATTTGTTTCACAGGGGACATTTCAAAATACTAACCAGATTGGAAGGTACTTAGTAAAGAAATGTGGTAAGACATTACTTGCATGATGACTATGAAATATTTTTGTGACTCCTGTACTCTTGTGGTGTCCCTTTTTGACTGTGAGAAACTTGAGACCTTATGTCGATGAAAAATAGCTTTGAAAAAAAAATAGATGTTTATCACAGGTTTCTTAATGTTTATTAGAGCATCTGTTGTGTTTACCTGGAATTTGTAGTATCTGATGACCTCTTTTCTGGGTATTTTTTTCCTCCTCTCTCATGTGTTACATATTGGGTGGAATTAATTGGATATGTGTACTGAAACTTCAGCATCAGTATTTGCTGCCAATGTCAGACTTTAGTGTGTCCAGTCTCTCCAGAGAAGCAGCTCCGAGATAAGAAAAGTAATAGCCATTTCTTTGTGGTTTAATATTTTGCTCCATTTTAATGAAAGATGTTTAATATTTTAACAGCTTTTGCTGGCTTGTGTATGTTTTTGGTTTTTTTTTAACTCCTGTCTTCTGACCTTTTTCTGTAAATTCCACTCCCAGTTTTAGGAGAAAAAAGGAACCTGAAGAATTCTGAAAAAGGAAGGAAAAATGGTTTTTAAGAAGGCGTGCTCTCTAGGTATCTAACTAATGAGAATTCTCCCTCTAGACACTCAACACAGCTTTCAAACTGCCCTTTTGAGTCATCTCAAAGAATCTCTTTGGTGGACTCCTTCCCAGTAGGCAAAAACCTGAGAGGTTCTCCTCTGGGACAGCTGAGGTCAGCAGGCACCAGCACTGTGAGAAGGGCTGCCCTGGTGGGTGGCAGAGGTGGAGCTGCCTTTCTTTGTGGATGCATTCTTCTCCCTCAGCCTTGTTTACTTCTGCCTAGACCTGAGATTATTGGACAATAATGTCATCTTTACCTTATCCCAAGTTCCCTAAGGTTGCTTAACTCACAGTGCAAGTTCCTGTCAGGGGACATTGGGGAGGGGTGGGCTTCAGTGGTCAGAGCTTCTTTTTACATTTTTGCCAGAATGGGCAAAAAGTCCTTCATAACAATGTTGAATCACATCACACATCAGCCGTAACATTCAGTCTCTCACACCCTCTGCCTTGGGCAGGGACACTTTCCACCAGACCAGGCTGCTCAAAGCCCAATCCAGCCTGGCCTTGAACACTCTATCCTCTATTTTTCCACATATTTCTGGTTTATGCCACACCTTATACGAATCTCTCCATTGAGGAAGACTCCATAGCCTCTCTAGCAGTCTGTTCCAGTGCAGTCAACCACAGTCAACCCTAATCGTAGCGGCAGCTTGGGCTTGAGCCTGAGGACCTCAGGAATGTGGGA